TCCAACATTTTTTAAGTCGAAAACGATCAAAATCATTCAACCAACCCGTCTCTGCTACCTCTTACGAAGGTGTAAAAGGAGGGTGGCGGACCCCGTTTATAGTTGGAAAAGAAAGGAGAAAAAATGGTAAAAAAACGTAGTATTATACGTCGTTTTGAAAATAACATCAAACCGTTTTGGAGCTGTTTAATATATAGCAATAAAATAATCGTTCTGTTTGGAAAAAAAAAATTAAATGTAAAAAACGATAGTTGTCGACGGAGACAAACTGCACACGGGCGCGCGTCGCGACAACTGCCCGCAGTACGCCAGTACGCGTGTACCTATATTTTATAGTACGTATATTAGTGAGTGTGTACCTACAATACAAGGCACGCACGTACCTATATATGATATGTTATAATATTATAATAATTCGACGTGTCGTTTGGGCGGCGGTGGACATAATATTATTATTATCATCATCGTCATCACCACGAGCGCGCGTGTCAGCGGGCGTCCCGGTCAGCTACCTGCTGTCTTCGGCTGGGGCAATAACGTATGCGCGCATTCGTGTCGGGTACATATTATTATCATCATCATCATCATCGTCATACCATTCATACCATAACACTATAACCGCGTACGCGGTATACAGTGTGTAATATCGTGTACATAAACGTATTTCTTATTTCTTATTTCTTATTTTTTATTTATTTATTTTTTTTTTTTTTAATAATAATAACGCCAAACACAACAAGCCGTTGCGGCGGCGATGATAAACCGCTACTTTATCAAGTGTCAACGGACCTGCCGGCCGGATAAACTTATATTAATTATCGTGTCCCGACGACGCGCAAACTCGATTAGTCCGGTGAAACTTATCGCCGCCGCCCCGCATGGTGCACACCACCGCCGCCACCGCCGCCGCCGCTCCACCGACGATCACCAACTCGGCAGACCGCGGGAGACGTGTCGTTGACGAGCGCGCGCGGTCGGGAACTCGAGCACAACGGTCCAAAAAAACGTGTTATAAACGGATACGGCGCGCGTGTTTTATAGGTACGCGTACGTATTTACGCCGCATAGGCGTCGTGTCTGTATGAGCGATACACCTCGCGCGCACGGAAACGACTACGTTGTGTTCGAATAATTAACAATCTTCGGGGCCGGGCGGCACGGGATCTCCGACGCCGTCCGGACGGACTACGCTGCAGCAGCTGAACGCGCATAATATCATATTTTTTTTTTATTTTTATTTTTTTCCAAAACCATATACGAATGCATTATATTATGTAATATAATGGACACGCACGCGTTTGTTTTACAACTAAAAAAAAAAAAAAAAAAAGACGGGACGCGACGGTATTATTGCGTACTAGCCGCGATCAACTCGAACTGCGGCGTATGATAGGTGTAATGATATAATGGTGCCTACACGTTATTGAACGCAGCCGAAAACGACGGCGTGCTCGTACACCTATAATGTGAAATATATCACGAAAACCGGAGAAATAGAATAAATAAAGAAAAATGTGGGTAGGTATTGATGGTGGTAATAATCGTTTCAAATGCGTCCGCGTTGTGTTCATGCATTATTAATATTCAACGCATATGATATATACATAAATTGATTTTTATCGTAAAAGTATACCTACTACGTCACAGCTGCTGCACACTTGATCTCGTGAAACTTTTCAAATGGGTTCCTCACTTTAACTTGAATAGTTTTGACTGTAAACATAGTTATACCCGTATCTAAGAATAATATCTGTACCTAGTATGTTTTCGTTCATTGGCGATGTTTCCACTTTTGAATAAACAACATATTTATACTTCATTAAAACTCGAAGTATAAAAATCTTTTTCATTTTGATAATGTAATAATATTTTTTTTAAACATATTACATTCTAATATTTTAATTTTTATAATTAAAGTATAAAGCGGCCATATTGATTTATGAAGTTAAATCAAAATTAGTTTTTTGTATTTGAAAATATTAAATAAATATACAATGGATTGAATTGATTTTTTTTTTTATTATTATCATATAAACAACGCAACTGATCTAAGTTTATTGGTTTTTTTTTAACTAAGCATCTTTCTTTGTATCAAGAATCTTTCTCTAATAAGTATAACGATGTATTTCACTAAATGTATTTATCTTTTTATAATTTATACTCTAATTTTATTCATTTCTTGTTCTTGTTCTTACTTTCTTCTTTTACATGTTAATTTTAACAAATGTTGAAAAATATATGCTTAATCAACGTCTAAATCTAGGTTATTACAATTTTTATCAAAGATAATTCTCTTCTATGATAAAAATTATTTATTAAATATTCATCTATACCTATTTAATTATTATTACGTAAATTCATGTAAATAAACTTCCCTACATTAACATATAATTACATTTTTTTGCACTATCAACTATACATTTCAGAAATCGTTGTTTATATAACTGATTATTAATGACTGTAACATATCCATTTTCTAATTTAAAAACAATTTTTTGAAATTATTTAAATTCAAGTTTCATATAATTGTTTTGTTTTTAAAGAAAAAGAAGAATAAAGAGTATAATCTTTTTAAATAAGCTATAGTGTACCTAAGCCAAATACTTTTTATATTATAAATTATTCTAATATACAATATCTTATAGTATATACGTATAATACAATTACCTAACTCATAACATATAATAGTCATAACTTATAACACTTAAAAGTAATAATATTTATTAATAACTATTACCTATATCTTATAAATAGATACTATAAAATTTGTGAATTTACAATTTTGGTATCGGTACTTATAATGTCTTAATAAAGTTATTAACAAATTAATTAGAAGACAAACAAAACTAAAACAATGCATATTTCCTGATAAATATTATTTTTAATTTTAAAACGTTATTTTAATTTATAAATCTCTATCGACTATATCAATTTTTAACTCATAATAGCTTGTCTAAACAAGAAATTGTGCACAGGAATTCATTAAACAATAATAATTGCTTAACAGATACATATTAAATAAAAATAAAAACAAATATTTCTTAGTAATTAGTAAAGTTACTTTACTTTAGTTACTGCTATAAAGATAACAAATATAATAATAAAGCATTTATACAACTTAAATTCTATAACTTTATTTATTATTATAAATTAAATAGCCAAGTGAACATAAATAAACTATAACCATTAATTTATCGATACGTTTAATAAATAATGGTATAAAAAATAGTATCGATACTGGAATTACAGAGGTGTATTATATATTATTATGTCATCAGAAATGGGTGTTTTCATATTCAAAAATAATTTGATATACATAATTATACTAAAAACTACATTGTTTGGAGCTCGATCTACTTAAGAATGACTAAGATTTGAATAGCCAATTTATGTTATAGGTACAAATCCATTTAGGTATATTATATTCTTTATCGATTTTATTAATTTGAATAATTTTTTTTTCAACTTTATATCTCTTCCTAAAAATAAATTTAGAAAACGACCGATCATATACAAATAGTACTGTAATAAGATTCTTTTAATTATTATTTAAATACAAATTCAGATACTTAACTCAACTTAAATAGTGTCTAAATACCTTACTTTTAGAAAGTGTCTTAAGACTTATTTAACAAAACAAAAGTATTTTCTTAGCAAATATTCAATATTTAAAAATATAGAGTTACTGAATTAAGGTAAAAAAAAAAGATTAAAAAAAAAAATACATGATTTAAAATACTATAATTTTTATGCTTTATATCTTTAAATATAATTAATAAATAATAAAATTTATCAATTTATTATTCATCATAGTTAAACAATAAAAATTTGGATTTAATAACCTATTAAATAAATTATAAGTAAATAAAATATATGTAATAGCAAGTGTTATCTATTTGACTACTTGAGAAATTCAAATTCTCAGTTTATACTAATATAATAATAATTGTAACTTAAAAAGTATCTTAGATGCATATTACAGCACTGCATATGTGCAGTATTGAGCACAATGTATATATGTATTTAAAATCTTATTCAATTGAAAATTAAAACAACAAAACATTTACTTAATCATACACAACGTAACATAAATACCTAAGTTTGTAATTTGTCAAAATAACTTATAATAACTTTATGCTTTTATTTTGTATTAATTGAAAAATAAACTATAAACTTGTTTGAATACATAATTAATAACGCTTTAAGTATGTATAATGCGTGTTGATTAGGTGTGTACTTAGAGCGCTATCTGGTTTCGAGTTTGACAATTTGACATTTGAAATTTTAGTTCATTTAAATTCATATTAGTTAGTAGCTACTAATATTTACTATTGATATATTAATTAAAAATAATAATAATAAGAATTTTTTTAATAATATTTTAATCATGGTCTTTAAGATGTATTACTACTCAGTATATATGTATTTCCTTTCATTTATAAATTTATTGAACAAAATTGAAAATGCACTATACAGGCTCATTAGATAGACTATCTATTATATTTTTATAATAAAATCAATAATTGATTTAAATTACCACCTAAGATTTGATATAATAGTTGCAATTAAAAAAAAAATAACCATTAATATGTTTATTAATAAATACTGGTGGACAGTTTCATTTTTTAGTTTATTTTTAAAATTGTAAGTTACTGGATAATTCGAGAATTAACCTTGAAGTATCAATGCACAATTGCCTATATTTTAAGATTGTAAAACTTTTAAAGTTTTTCTACAGACTACAACGCATCAAAAAAAAAACATGTAAGACCACGAAACACATTATTTTTAAGGTTTAAATGATAATAAAAAATTAAAAAATACTCATCTTTTACTGCGAATATTCAATATACATATCAAAGCATAAGAACAGAATAAATTTAGCTTAAATTGTTTACTAAATAAATGCAGATTCTATAACATACCGTTGCTATAAACAAAAATAATTTGTTATATTTTTATAATACTTAAAACTTATAAAAAATATAAATTTATTAATAATGTGTTCGGAGTCAGATCAATTTGTAAAGTAACTGCAATATGGTAAAACTAAATCCTAATTAATACTTAATGTTGTTTTAATAGATATGTGATTGGGAGAATAAATATAACGAACAATGTACATTAACTAATGAAATCATTACTCAGTATAACTCGCTAAAATTGAACGAGAGCATACTTTTTGCCAAATTAAAGGAAATGAAAGAACTTAGAGAATGTGTCCTTGATGAATTATACAGCTATAAAGTAATTAAATAAGTATCTTTTAATTTTATTATATGTTTGCATTTTTTTATGTTTACATATATTAGGCGTAAACAAATTAATTCTACTTCTTGTGAGAACACATATTGTTTCATTAATGTAGTACTTTAATACTTTATTAATAACTAAATAAATAGTAAATTATAGAATAATTAATCATTGTAATTCAGTAATGAATTTTTTATGTAAAACGATTTTTTATTTTAAATAAAATAAACAACTATTAATTTCTATTTTTTACTTTTCTATAATATAGTATTAATTTTTTAAATGAATCAAATATACTAATATTTAGTAATAATAAATTTGTCAATACATACGTTATATATAAATAATACAAATTATGCTGAACAACGATTTAGTTATACCTTTTATATTTTATAAATTATAACTTCTTAAATAATACAATAAGTAAACTATGAATAAAATTATAAAATGTTCATTCATTAACTGTTACTCAGGTCGAAATAAAGGAAAAAGATGACTTGGTAAAAAAACTAAGTATAAATTTGAAATCTATTGAAGAGGAAAATTGTAATTTACGTAGAAAAATTAACATGGATAGTCGATTTGAAATGGACTGTAAATATACAACAACTGAACTTCTAGATTCGATGAAACAAATCGAAACAAATTCAAAGTTTGAACAGGAAAAACTTTCTGCTAAGTTTAACATCGTATGTGAGAAATTGTATGAAACTAAGATCGCATTTTGTGACGTAAAAAATACAATAAACCACGAAATATTTAACATTAAAAATACGGTAGATACAATGGAAAAATTGTCAGAAGTAGAAAATCGTAATAAAAGATTGTTAATTCTGAATCAACAGTTAAAAGATAAAAATTCTTTAGCAGACAAAGAGTTAATTTGCAGAAACAAGAAAATAAAAGAACTTCAACGAGAAAACAGTTATTATGTTAGTAAGATCAATAAACAGAAAAAACAGTTGCGAGAATCAAGCTTAAAAAAATAAAATATTTCAATATTTAAATAGAATTACGAACAAGCTAAACAAAAAAATAATTGTAATTGTAGGCAAAAGAACTTTTAAGACAGATTTCAACGATTAGCAGTTAAATATTGCATTCCAGCAATTAAAATAACCTGAGCCGTCGCGGGACGCCTGGCAGATGTGAAATATCAAAAATTTTTTTTTTTTTGTAATAATGTTGAAAATATATGGTGAATTAAATGACTATGAAATAATTTCTAAATTAATATCATTGACTATTTTGTTTACCTACGTTTCCGTCTTTCTGCTTCAAGTTGTTTTAGTTCTTCACGGTGCTGTTCCCTGTATCATTGTTGCCGACCTTTTTTACTAAGAGCACTGTTATGATATAAAACAGTATATATAATATAATATATTTAATATATCGATATATAATTATTAAACAAAAGTATTTTTTCAACACGCACATGCACATCGTCGAATACCACTTATCACATTTCGTTGACTAACCATATTAAGTCATAAACATAATTTAAAACTAATATCTATTAATCTAATTAATATTTTACTTCTTCACTATCTTGTAATATAATTACGAAGTTATACAGAGATCAGTCTTATTAAAATAAACAAACTAACCTTTGGCTCGAATCAGTAAATTGTGAATCGGGACATACATCAAAAGCACATGACGGAGACATTTCACTCCGACTTGCATGATGGTTAACTTGAAATTTAATTCTTTTTTCTGACGGTGGTGCACTGTCTCGTTCCATTATATTTGTAATATTTTTTTGTTTATTTTAAAACAACATAATATTCAATATACATACACGGAACAATATTATCAACGTAATATACAATCAAGTTATTATAAAAATATAGGTGTACATATTATTATACGTTTATAAATCGTATAAACATAGATAATCGATACTGGGCACATAGAGAGGAAATCGGTGAGCTTCGGAAAATTCATTTTTTTGTTTCTTTGAGTTCACTCTTAATCTACAAAGGAATTTTATCTTAAAGTTTTTGAATCTGAATAAACAGTTTCTGTTTAAAATGTAATGCTTCTGACATTTTTTCTATTATATCTAAATTAATAATATCTTCAATATAAGATATATTGCGGTTTATTGTAATTTTTACGTCACCAAACGCAATCTTTCTTTCACTCGGAGAACGTACCTAATACATACAATTACTTTATTTTGTATTTAAATTTTTATTATTACATATTTAGTATTAAATAAAATATTGGGAAATTGTTATTTATATTAGTTATTATTACATACAACATTATAAATACGTAATACATGTTATATTAGTGAACCTACTCGTATGTAGATATATTTATTATTTATTATAAATAATAATGTAATTATTATAATTATATATTTGTGATAATACGCATCCAAAAATACCTAGATGAATTAACAATTGGTCTAAAAAATGATTTGATATAAGTATTAAAAATGTAACTTTTGATTAATATCATCATTATTCATTAAACTCGCCTGACAATTGGCTTATAAAACTATAATTTAAATTTTATAGTAGTAGATACTAGGAATTATTAGCCTGAACATATAAATAATTAACATAGAATTTATGAATAAAACATTTATCGAAACAATAAAAATCTAAATAATTGATTATTAAATGCAAGATTATTACATTATTATAAACAAAAAAATTAAATTATTTTTAACCTATTTCACGTTATTGCTTGTCACTATTTTGGCTAAGGTGAATGAACAATGAAATATCATACTATTAATTAAAAATAATATATTGATAAATAGTTGACTATAACTGTCAAAACAATAATAGATAAATTTAAAATTTAAATTAATATACAACCTACGCTTTAATAGAATACAATATATAATCATAGTTTACATAAGTATATAAAGAACTTATTAAATTGCAAAAAATTTTAATCGATCCAACGCATTTCTAAACCATTAAAGGCAAAGTGAAAACTGAAACATTGGTATAAACTATAAACATTATAACGTTTAAAATAGGTCTAATTAATTTTTCAAATTATTTAAATAATTATCACTATATGCTCAAAGTCACATTAATTTAAATCTCGATGCAATGTTTTAATTAATAAATTAATAAGCTTAATGAATAATAATCTCTTAATACGTCTAAAAAAATGATTAAAATACTAATGAGTATTTATTTTCGGTATACTATAGCATTGGCAATTACAAACACTACGTAATTTCTCGAATGTTTTATCTTTAATATTTGTATATTGAATAATAGACACTGATGTCTGCTATGACAAAAGCCCCGGAGGAATAATATTATATGCTTGTGAGTGACAAAATAAATCAAGTGCTGAGAAACCGTTTGAAATGCTAACCGCAACGATGACCTTTAAAATTGTCAACTCCTCGCGCAGAGTTCCATATTTTATTTTAATAATATTCGTTTCCCTTCGTTTTTATTATAAATGAGAGTAACCCGATCCCGTTGTTTGGTCGCGCGCAAAGACGCGGCCCGCACATAAAGCATCGCATAACATAATATTCAACTTTGTGCACATTGTACACATATAAATATAATATGTATATGTATCGTCCGGGCGGTTTATAATCCGTCCGTTTGTGTTTTCGTTTAAAAAACGCCGACCGATTTGTCATCCAATTATACTGTCTGCTGTAGTCTAACGCGTCCCAATTAAGGTAATACCTACCTGAATGTATATGACGATCATATACTACGAGATGGAGAAAAAAAACAACTAATGTACACAATTGAAAGAAATCATGTATAGATAGGTATCATGGTTATATTATACTAGTACATAACCGTTATAGGTACAGGGAGAAGTATGGTTTTTAAATTAAAATTCATATAACTATCAAAATAATTAATAAATATTATGTTTTGTATAGATTGATTTTATACTCTATGTAATAATATTTAAGTTGAAATAATATAAGATTAAACTTGTTTAAATAGGCTAATTTACTAAAAATTTTTAACCGACGACATTTTTTTAACACATTAAAAATGGTTTAAAAATGAATATCTATTAGTTTTTATACTTGTAAAATAAAATAGGTTTTACTTATTTTATAGGTTTAAAAACTAAATTTTAAATTATAAAATTTTACTTAGTTATGGGATTTTAGCAGGTAAATACCTACATTAGTTTTCATGATATAATCATCTACAAATTATAAGATTCAACTTATATAAGTGGGTAGACCACTTATGACTTAGGCGAATCCCCTAAAATATGATCTGTTTGAAAAAAATGTTAATAGTTTTATACTGTTTGGGTAAATAAATATGTAAAAATTTATGGAGATAATTAATTTATAAATTTTATAATAAAATGTTCATCGACAATTAAAAAAATAAAGTATCATGCAATATAAATAATAATTAATAATTAATAATAAACTCTTAACTTAAAAAAAATAAAAGTGAATATTATGTAGCAATAAAGTAATAATAATTAGCAGTAATAGTAGAAGTAGTTACCTATATTATAAATGAGTAGTATGTAAAACATTAAAAACTTTCTTGACTTGACAGTTTATCGTAATATAATATATAGTATATATATAATACACTCAAAAAAACTTTATCTAGATCCTCAACGTATCAACTTTCAACTTTTTGAAAACTGTAGATATATAAAACGGAAGAATATGAATATAATCATAGACAAACGAAAAAAAAGTATGTAAAAACAGCTAACAGACAAATTAATCCTAAAGATTTTATACTTAAATATCACTTATATTTACTTATCGAGTGAGGACTAATCAGGATAAACGTAATTAACTCATACGAAAATGGAAGATTCACACACATTATACTGCACTTATGGTCCATCGTATATAATCAGAAACGTCGCAGAAGAGTATTAACAGGTCGGCTTTGGAAGATACGTTTTTGGACTCAACGAAGCAAGTGAAAATGAAAGATAATTGCTGTCCATGAATATAGAAAATCCCGCATTATGGCAAGATATTCAGTCATTCGGAGGAGTCATATTAATATTGAGACGGCATGTATTAAAATAATAAACGGTTTATTGGATGTACAAAGTAAAATAAATATATAGGTTATATAGCCATATAGGTACTAGGTATTAGAAATCAACTGTATATACATTCATTATGGATGCAATATATGGATACATATAGAAAAAAAACGAATTGAAATGATAAATTACAACGCGCAAGTAGCTGAATGTAGTCTAAAAAAAGAGTGTGATGAATAGTGTGTGTGTATACGAAACCGTGTTAATATAAAATATAATAATAATAATGTAACTGGCACACTTAATATTTTATATTATACGCAAATTTAATATAGTTACGTTTATACGCGCGTCATATATGGCGTATTGGTGTACCTAAGTATACGAACGCATTTGACCCGAGACCGACTGCGCACTACCTTATATGCGTACAATACACATATAACAATATTATTTTATTATAATGTACTAAACTGCTGTACGCAGCCGCCGGTCCCTCAATAACACATCATCATCATCATAATATTCGAGACTTGAGTCGATGGGTTTCATTCAAAAATGTTGTTATTGTTGCTATACGGTTTACGAGTGTCCGGGTCATAAATCCCGTTCGATGGGCACCCTCATTATTGTGACATATTTTACGACTTCGTCAACCGGCCCCGATTGTAAAGCTATACGGATCGTAAAATAAAAATGCCGCTTCGCGATCTTCGTAATCCACTGGCCGCCGCCACTAGAATAGGTAGGACATATTATGCGTACTACAATACGTATCTATATAGTACAATACATACGTATAGAGAAGATGGTACCGCCGAAAAAGGTGAGAAATTGACTGAGTATAAATAACGTTTGTGTGTAACGCGTGTGTATGTAATATAATGTGCTGGCCGGGTGCAGGTTTATACCGGAAAACCTTCAATTAAAACCACACCAGTGAAACCTATAACGTTTGTACGCAAAAAAAAACCCTTTTAACTAAGCACCGCTTGTTGTACCGTTATGATGTAAATAGTATAAGATATACTATGTACAACCCAAAAATAATAATTGACATTTTCGGGTTAGGCATAATATAATATTATTATATCTACGCTTTGGTCAGCTAGATCGTGTATATACATTATAAATATATATATATATACATATATATTTTAATATATAGGTTTACAACTACTATTTACAACTCAGCGTACCGCCCGGAAAACGAATAATTGTTCGATTCGTGATATTGGATTCGGAAAAAAATCCATTTCAAGATGACTCGACGGAATATATTACTGCAATTATTGCACTACTGCAAACGGCATTGAACTCTTTCGTATTAATCTGTTAATCTTTTACACGACAGCAAAACTCACTGTCGGGTCGCACTGAAGACATTTAAACTACATCTACCTTTCTTTATAGCACTTCTCTATAGAAAGTGGTATCGTTTTACGCACCATCGGCACACCACAGTAACTGCTGTACAGACAACATCGATTATCTGTAATTTTGCACCCGTGAATCAAGTATACGATAGGTTTTGGCCACTGCCTACACCCTACACTCGATTATTGCCTCCGGTCAAATGGTTTTGCAATGTCCACGGTCATCCTTCAAAATGCAATCTCTCAATACGCACTCAAATAACTGAAATAAGTGAAATATTCGATTTGCCAATCCATTACAAACACGTTTATACAATGTAAGTGACGTGCGAACCGCCTCCTTCGTGCAACAATCTAACGAAATAATAATATACTGGACCGGCGTTTTGAGACCTTTACAATAAATATAGAAGACCTCCCAGATATCAATATGAAGAGGTGTGATTTTCAAGGGTTTAATGATTTTTGAGCGGTACTGGGAAATCGGTTCTTTCATTTATTTGATTTCTGATTTACCGACTTCTTGGTATTTATATTATCACTGTCCTGTTAAACGTACTAGCTACATATGCTACATAATATATTAAATTATATTATTTATTTATTATTATTATTATTATTATTATTATTATTAATAATAATATAATAACATATTATATGATAATTTAAAAGTTGGTACTTTGAAAATGTTTACCCTTTTGACTTTAATACATAATTTGGTATATATGTATTAGTTATATTAAGTACAAATATGCTTTATAAACTTATCCCGATGATGTTTTTATCACTGGGTTAAGAAACACATAATAAGTATATAATATATATATATATATAAATGATATCATATAGGTATATCTATTATGTAAATGTGTTTGTTACCGATTCGATGTCGAGTCGTGGAGAATCGTAAATACTACGCCGCATATACGACTCAAACCTTTAGAATGTGCGATACTATATTGGATGTAGAAAAATTGTAGAAAAAAAAACAAAAATGTTAACAATTTTGACGTTATCCACTCAAACGGCGGCAATCGATTTATCATTCACAGCCGGTCCTTGTGAAAACCATTCGTTCGTCCGTCCCTCTAGTGAGACGTTGCTGATTTGTGGCTTGTAATTATAATGGATATAATTCACGCGCCCGGTAAACCGATATTGCCCCGTCTGTCCGCATATATGCGCCCGATAACCTTTGGTTTTTTTATTATTATTATTATTATTTATTTATTTTGCGTCCTCGCCCAGTGTAGCCGACGCTCTTATATAACGACTACGTCTGCATTTTTCGAATTTCGAAACGACAACGGACTAAAATTGGCTCGTTTCGACTACCGATATCGAATGCCGGAGTAAATATCCTGAACAGTACTCTCACATATCCGTGAGACCACAAAGAAAATTGCGTAAATAAAACGATAAATAAATCCAAGATGAACGTAAATTATTTTTGTGTAAACGCGTACAGACGTGCGTGTGCTCAGTGCTCACACAGACACGCACAAAAACGAATACATACAATGTCTCCAACAAATAAGTTGATTTCAAACGATATTTTGTAATATATTACCAACTACAAATATAACAATAACACTTGTTTTGATCAAATTTATAATTTTCTATATGCGTGATAAATGAATAACAAAACCTAAATAACATTATATAAATATAAAAATATAATATTTGGATACGATATCCGATATAAAAAATGCTTAAAGAATGAACTATTAAAATTGAAATAAAATCTTAGTAACATAATAATAAATATTAACTATAACTTTGTAGGTACATAGTCAATCAAATATAGATTAAAAATGTCTCAAAACATTGAACTAAAAAACTCTTTTAATATATAGTCAATATTGTCCTTTCTCATTTAATTATAACAATTTATATTTATGTTATTTAGTTCACATTGCTTTATTGTTAAATCCTGTAATAATAAACAAAAATCAACAAATAATCTATAAAAATGATATTTATTTTCATTTGTACCGATATTAATATGTTATACATACCTAATACCTAATAAAAATATTTTGTTGACAGACGAGTATGCCCGCGTGGCGTGTGTGCACTGAAGTGGTACATAGACGGCGTAGCGTATGATATTTCCTCCTCCTTCCTCACCCACGCCATTATCTATATAATAATGTAATATGATAAATAATTATTATGCACACGTTTAATACCTATTGCCTAATCGTTATTGGTTTTTGTAATCCATCACATGAAACTGGAAACATGAATGCACGTTGCCTTATGGGCATACAACAATACGATTTATACTGTTTTCGTGCAATGCCTACATTTAATAATATTATGTACAAACTACATAACATTATATATTCGGGATTTTTCATTCGTATGAAAATTAGATAAATTATACATGATAATCGATGAGATAATCGAATTCTCAGTGACGTTCGGTACATTTGAATACTGGGCTTATATATTACCTTCAATACCAAAACTTAAACAAATAAATAATCAACGTCTTAAACCTCTTAAACCAAGGGAAACCTTTATACTATCGTAATTCAATGCCTGCATATTACACCGTATTCGTCTGTATTGGGGAATCCACAGTATTTGGAATTTCGCCAAAACATTCGTTTTACATTTTGTCTGTACATTTTGTTCGATATTGTGCGCGTAATTTTCAAAATATATAAGTATAGGTACTCGAAAAGAGCTAAAACGATTTTATTGTCCAATACTCATTATTTATACATTTATATTTTTTTAATAATAAAATTTATTTTTAATTTCTATTGTGATATAAGTTATCTTATAAAATGTAATAATATTATTATTTGAAAATATTTTATATTTTAATGAGTTTTGTTAAACTTAATACAGTACAATTTACTATTTTTACTAAACTTTACGTTTACCTAATATAAAAATTAAATTTTAGCTTATCATTAATTATTAACATGGTATGACTAATATCTGCCTAATACACGCATAAGAGCGAGTTATTATTTTACATAAATACAACTCGCAACTGTACGTATGTAGTATGTACAAATTAAAATAAATTTTGCAGTTATTTGGATATATATTAAAACCAAAATCAACGATTAAGTATATTATACCTTAATTTAATTATTATTGAATGTCAGATTATAACTATTAATTATTTGAACTGATTAGCATTTAAATATGCTTAAAAATTATTATCCAACTAAAATGACATATAATTAAAAATACTTTATACCAATAATTTATTTCATGTGTCATATTTTACGTCATAAAACTTCAACATGCGCACAACAACGAAATTGTGTATTTTTTTAACCATATTATTTTTTACCTTGACTAAACACTATGTGTAAAATACCAAAACAAACATTGATTTAACATTTCATTAAATGGAGTGACGTCGTAACTCTTCGGATTCAATTACAGCGGCTGCAGGTGTGTGCGGCTATGTATATTCGGAGTTTGGACAATCAAATTAAATATTAACACTGATGGGTTTATTATTAATCGAATAATTTATTGTTACCGGTGTACAATAGTAGCTGGAGTAAAATTTTTTTTTTCAATATCAATGCATAACTATAATATTATATATATAGTTATATCTACCGCATGTGTACAGTCGGGTGAAGGTTTCGCGGATACGCCGACGCAGTCGCGGCGTTAAAAAAAAAACAAAAAAAAACCCGTTCTGGCCTGTCAGCATAACTGGCTGTGCCACTATTTCTATACGTTCATATATAATCCTTTTGTGAAGCAAGAGCATGACAAAACATATACGAGAATATTACAAAAAAAATACCGATTCCGATACGACTCGACTACCGGATTATGTTTCAGATTATGTCGTACGGGTGCTCCGCGGGTGTATATTATTATAATAATATGTACACTAAAAGAATTAAATGGCGATTATAAAAACGCGGGCGCGCGTGTGTTGACGCTTAAAAATAACTTTTGTTTCTTCTGTATAAATATTATAAATAATAATAATGATAAAATTATGAAAAGTTGACCACGAGTCCTGGACATGGAATGCGGCGGCGATGGCAGTGACTGTGTCCTCTCCAAGACAACAGGCGATGCATAATAATAATATTTTTATCATCTACAAATTACAATTATTATTTTCACAGAGTAAACTTTCATTTTATTGTATTATTACCACTTCTATAATTGTTTTGAAATTTCGTACGTCTTTTAATAATTCAGGTTGTTGATACCCGAGCACGTTGTTCGGGTGGTGTGGTTGGTTTGATAAGTGGATGGTCGTAGAAGGGGAGATATTCTGTTTTTCGCTCCGAGATAAATTTGTCGGTTTGCTGGCACTAAAAAACTGGTTCCGGCGCGAAATGCGCACGCGCTCGCACTGAACGTATACTATATTATAATATATTATGTAGGTATATATTGTATTATACCTCCTAGCCGCCCGGTAATTAATCGAGCCGAGTCAAATTGGGTGCCGAAAATATATATTACGTGCTCAACGAGATTCCGCATTCCACACACACACACACACACACACAGCTGACTGAGTACGTGCAGCCACAGTTGATCGGCGATGGTGAGTTGTAGGTATAGGTAATAGTGTGTAGTACTACACAATCTATAGGAAGAAACGAGTTTTACGCGTGCGGTGAACTATTGGGCATGGCCCTATTAGGGAAGGGGGATCGATAGATTGCTGCAGCGGATGATGTGCATTACGTACGCGATCGCCAAACGAGGTCACAGCGACAGTATATATACTAGTTGTATATTCCGATTTCGGTCAGGAAAAAATTAACTAACACAAAATACGGAGCTATATCGACGTACCTCGGTTTTAGTACACAAGACATCAGTTCACGGGCAAATTGGCATCGATGTATCACACGATTTGTGAACAAAGTCAACTGAGATGGGCGATCCACATAGCAGATTTGTACATGGTATATTTTCGAACGCGATTCAAACTACCGTCTAAACTTTTCTGATATCTCTGAGAACTTTTTGAAAACTTTTATAAAAATCGGTCTAGTGGGTTTTTACATCTATAGACTGCATAGGGGCGCTGCATTTTATTTTACATATTTTGAACAATAAACAACAAATTAAATACTATTTTCTTTTATTAAAAAGAAATCCCAGTTTCAAACAATGCCAATCAATGATGTATTCAATTGTATTTACATTTTAGTAAATACAATTATTCATGATATTAGTACATATTATATTCATGAATCTATTTAATTTATCATTTTATGATTATAATATGTCTGTTGAGTTATTGGATACTATTGTGCAATAATAATATAAATAAGATTATACTAAAATTATTATTTATTTTCATACCTATACTAAAGAGTTAAGGTATTTCATTTAATATAACTTCCAACTTCTTGGTAGGCGCATTTATTCGTCTTACACTTTATATGATTGACATCTTTTACAATCTGTGAGTCTACTAGAATATTACAGTTTATTAATTTTTTAATTGTTATCTATTTTTTTTTCTCAAAGAAGTTTAAGTAGACTTTTGAGATTATGTAAAATGTCTTTGCATGGAAAATTTTCAGATCTTGTATATTTGTGTTAAAGAAAACCTTTTTCGATATCAAAAGTTTTCTCATCATAAAATAATTGTGTTCATTTGCAATAATCCTTTTATCTTTATTGTTTGTATTGTTATCATTATTTTCGGACATTTACTACATAATTTTTCAATATCTTTTTTCATACTTAAATTTTAAATTTAATTTATTGAAATATCTATTGGTTATATAAACTAACTTTTGCTCTGTACCTGAACGTTGCTTCAAAGATAGACTTTCCACAACTTTGATTATTTAATAAAATGTTAAAAAATTATTAAACAATAATAACAATAACACGAAATGCAATGCACGGTTCTTTTAAAATTGTATATTACTCATCTGAAATCTAATACTATCATACGTGTCATATCTAACCTAGCATATTTTCGATATATCATTCATTGATTAGCTCTTTCTATCGATCGTTATTTTTGACTAAAGCCATGAAGAAGTTTTTCGTGTAAATTTTTTAGAAGTATAGTCACTTATAACTTATTAGATTTAAGCTTAATAATGATTTAATAACAAATTCTTAGCCATTGTCAGAATATATAATAACCGGTGTTTCCAAAGTTGTATCAAATAAATGATGTACGATCTTTAATAAACGCTTACTCATTATAGTTATTAAAACTGCTCTAATCAATAGTTAGAAATTAGTTGTTGTCTTTAAGTTTTTTATTAAAATTATATCAAAAATAATATTGTTTAATTTGATTTTCATTTTGAATTCATCCTTATTGAATTATATTATTAATAAAAATTAATGAATATAAAAACAATTTATTATGAGTACTGAAGCATACGAAAAATAATACAAAAAATATATGTATAAGTAAGTATACAAAACGATACGTATTGTGAAAGACTAACTTAGGAATATTATCTTTAAGTTAAAATATATATTATATTTCGTATACATTAGTACGTTCCAGTTACCCATTTAACTTATAGACCACAATTTTACAAAATATTATATTTAATGCCAATAAATTAACAACATTCCGTGTTAAAATTAACGATATCGTTACACCTTAAAAATTATAAATAAGTAGTATCAATATAAAAAAAAAAAAATAATAATAATTACTGATTTCCTAAGTATAATTATCATAATATTTACAAGAAAATAACATTATTTTGATCTTTAACTTTTTTTTACCGTAACATATATACAATTTTAAATTTATTATTGATGATTATTCCGATATATTATGAGTGTGATCCTTTTTTCCACATATGTATTCCTCATAAATGTTTTCCACGAATTTGCCTAAAGTCGATCTCAGATATATCACGTATTGTTATAACTTATAATGTTCCTATCTATTTAGCCATTTAAACGTATCTAGGACTTAGGTCATCATTGTAATGAATGTACCTTGGCTATTTGATCTTCAAACTTACATATTAATAAATAAAGATGGTGATACCTAAACTCACGTCTAAGTGTATGCATACCAGAAGTCTTGGATAAAAACTAACTTTAATCATTACAGTGATTTTCTCACTCAATAAATATATACAATACACATACGCGTCCATTATTTTATTTTATTTTCTTATAGAAGATTA